TAATTTATATATAATACTAAACAGACGATAGCAAACTCAATTTAGCCGCTCCGTAGCGTGGCGCAGGGTCGGAGGAAAGTAGTTCGGCTGCTCATCCACTATTGGTCCAGACTCTATCAATCTTGTCGCGAAACGACGTTATAGGAGGTACGTTATACGAAAGTTGCTACAATTTTTTCGCTACGTTATAGGAATTGTCGTTATAGGAACGTACGTTATAGGGGGGCCGACTGTACTTCAAATGATGATTAATCTGTTTATTATATGTGGATGAAATATTAAAAATTTATGTCTACAAATTTCAGAATAAATATTTATATTTTGTATGCTACAAGTGACACGAATTTATTATAGTTTTAATGAATACCATAATTATAATGATATTTGTTATATACTTAGATTTAACGAGTGTTTCTGAACATTAAGAAAGAGAACATTACAGACGCTACGTGCCGAAAGATAATGGATGAAGAACACAAAAGTAATCCATTCCATTCAGCTAGTGTTTTTTCTCGCTTATTTTTCTGGTATGTATTTAAAATTATATAAATAATTAATATTTTAATTTTATAATTGGAATTAACAAATTTCACTCCACCCCTTTGTACGATAATAATAGTGCTTAATAATAATAATAATTTGTACTTTCATTCGTAAGTTACAGGTAACTTATACAGATTATTTTTTAATATACATACAGATGTATATATATATATATATATATATATGTGTGTGTGTGTGTGTGTGTAAATTTTTTCCGTCTTTCGATTTCTGTGGGTTACACGTGGTCCTTCCATCTTAACCTTTTCGAAGCTTCTCCTTCTTTTTTCTTTTGTTCTACGCTTGCTCTATTGTTACAACCGTCACCGGTTTTTACGCACTAAACCGTACTTCTGGTTTCGGAGATTATTTACACCTTTTAATTCCCGCTCTGTAGATTCATAGTCGATTGTTGTATAAACGTAACTTTGATATGTGGACGACGTCTGGCGGTTTTCTCGTTTTTCTCCATTTTATACTATATAGTACAATAAATTTGATACTTGTCTTATTACTATATACGGTCCAAACATTAGAGGTTTTAATTTTTTCTGCGTGATTGCATTTTTATTTTCAATTAGGACTAAGTTTGCTGGGCTTAACATTACCTTCTGAGTCTGTTATGGAAATAATTCTTATTCACTTCCTACTTTCTTTGAGTACTTTCGTAAGCCAGTTTTCTACCTTCTACTGGCGGAAGAGGAATCGGTGTGACTTGGGGGAATGGTGGAATGCCGAACATGAGATATTTTGGTGAAAATCCCGTTACTGAGTGAGGGGAGTTGTTATATTCTTCTGTACTGTTTTGCATAATTTACTTCAACAATTGACCCTGCTGTTTTCTTTCATCTTGCAGCGTTTCCGTGGTTACGGTGGTTGGGTTAACCCATTTACATAAGCCATTACTTGCTGGATAATTTAAAGATATAATTTTAATTTTATTTCATGGTTTTCTATAAATCATTAATACCCCTTATATAGCTATCCTACCACTTTTTGTTTTTCATTCAATCACGCTATCCTGAGATATTGAACGAAATAATCGCCAACACCTACACCTCTCACACACATTTATGTCCAGCAAAATTTTACCACCCTAGAGCTGAGCAACATTGCCAAATTTGACTGCCAAAATGGGCTACTCTTGTATTAGTTTGACAGAAAATAAAACTTGGTGAATTACCTACTTTTCGGGCTACGAAAATTTCATGTTTCTGTTAAAAATATGTTTCGGTCTACAACAACAATACCTATATCTATTTGAATCATCTTTAAACGTAATTTTGTTGTAAAATAGAGAAATGGACAAAGCATTATCGGATAAAAAAAGAATCTCTTAGTCAACTTTTAAATTAAATGCGAAAAAAATTCGAAAATAAGTTCTGTATGTATGGATATTAGTGTGTGTGAGTAGTAGTTGTTTGAGTAGTACTAATCACAAAATTAATTTCATATGTCGATTAAATTAAAATTGCAAATAAAAATATGTTGAATGGAATTATTTCAGATCACAAAATTAATTTTTTGAGTAAATTACTATCGAATAAATTAAAATTGCAATAATTGTATGAAATAATATAACACCAAAACGAATTTTCCTTTTATTATCAATACTAGAATTAATTATTTTCTTGACAGATATTTGTTTTAATGTTCTGGTACATGACAGTTTCAAATAATATAACACTGAAATTAATTTAAAAAGGTTATTTTCTTACGTTACAGTTTATTTAAGTGTTTTCACTTATTTCTTTAGTTTATCTAAAGCAAGAAATTTCTGCACCTAATAAATTTTTAAGATATAAATTATTTTTAGATAAAAAATTTCTTGATTAAATTAAGATTATAAATATTTAGAAAACTTTATATTTTATTTTAGATTTTATAAAATATCTTGTAACAATAAGGCTGTATTAATTATTAAATGTTTTTATAAATTTGAATTAAATTAATTTTATTTTAACAATAAATTGCTGGCCCAGTATTGGGTAACGAGAAACATAATTCCAGTTTAGATAATCTTTTAATACGCTTAAAGTCGTAGTTTTTAATCGTTGGTAATTTATATTTGTTTTTATATCGAACTTATGTATGTATTGCTAAATAAAATTATTTAAAGGATTTTGAAATTCATTGACTTTATTCCAATCAAAATTTAAATCAAATTTTAAGTAAATTAATTTTTCAATAGAAATCTTGATCACAAAATTAATTTCAGATGTGAATTAAATTAAGATTACAAATAATTTGTGGTGTTTAATTTTGAAATTAATTTTTCAAGTTATAAATTATTTTCAGATCAAAAATTTTTTGGGTAAATTAAAATTATGTGTAATTTTATTCTCAAATCGTTTTTTTTTTTTCCTTTTAGTTTTCATATTTAGAAAACTTTACAATTTATTTCATTTCTTTAGTTTTCATAAAATATCTTGTAACATATTCTTTCTAATTATTATAAATTGATTTGCAATGATAATTTTTACAATTTGTTCTAATACCTAAGTAAATTAAAACACGAAAACTTAAAATAATATTTTAACGCTCTTTGCTAAAAGATGTATTAAGTTGTTAATTAAGATAAGAGATGGCGGTGAATTTACGTTTAACCTCTTAAATTAATTATACAAAAATGCCATTAAAAATTTCCAAAAAGAACTGTATTTTAAATTTGTGTAAAATAATTAATGATTACGGCAGTTTGATCGAACCATTTATATTTTCGACGGAACTTGGAGAAGAAAGTTATCAGCAACTAATTCGGAATATACTAGAAATTTCACTATCACGAGATATAGAGGATGCTCGCTTACGAATATTATTGAATTGTTATTGTTCAATATTATTATATCCAAGTAATAATAGCTATATATTTTCGAGCGCACCATTTTGTATGAAGAAATTGTTTATACAACTTCGACTCAATTCTAGTACACTGGTGATAGAAAACAAAGTGTATATATACTAGAATAATCTATGCCCAAGATGTCATATGTCGTTTTCTAAATTTCACCTGATTTGTAAATGTAAGAAGAGCCTAGACTTGAGACAGAGGTATGATCTTGTAGACTTTAGCAAATGTGAATCGGTGGAAGCAATGTATGGGATGTTCCATAATGCAATTCAAAAAAATGTTTTCTAAATTATATAATTATGTTAAGAAATTTTTTGATGTTTAATTGATTGTAGTGATAATGATGACAACGAAATAAGTAGTACTCCCTTTGTAAACAGGCAGCTAGCCTTCTACTAATAAAATTTGATTTGATTTGATTTGGAAAAAATTTGTGGCAATAACAATTTTTTAAATATTATCTGATGTTTGAAGTTCGATGTCTAAATTACTGTAGCTCCACTGTTTAAAAAGATTTTTTCCTTTCTATCCACTTTAAATAAAAATAATTCGTTATACATTGTGAAATGATTTAATAACTTTTGTAAATTACCATGTTTAATACAACCAGTTATATCCAATATTTTCCATCTATAAAATTTAATTCATGAATTTTTTTGCTAGTGTGAGATCCGAAAGGCCCTGGGTCTATTTTATGAATTTTTATCGATAATATTAAATTATCAACACAGAATATTATTTCGTTTTGTGAAAAAAAATATTGTTTTAGATGTGGGAAAAACCAGATAACAAATGTTATTTCCTTTCATCGAAGAGAACATCCTCTGTTTTTCCGTATCTGGTTAAAAATCTCGCTCAGATGGGAAATGGTTACCCCTCATTCATCCCCCTTTCGTCCGTTCTCACGAAAGAGTTACTGGACGATGATTGGTCGAAATTCAGGCAATATAAAGGAAATCTAGTCCGAATTCCAGGAGTTCTTCGACAGATCCGAAGCATCCAGACTCCACGCAGTTTTCCTCCCGATGGCCAACGCCCATAACGGAGTCCGATAGACTAAGTCCCGAGTCTACACTTAGAAGAAGTGATATTTTTATATTTTGTGCACGAATTAATCTCCCTTACGAAGGTAATATGAACTCTATCTACAAGGTGTCCTATATCTACAGAAACGAAGACGACAACTAACAGGTCGTATGTTTAGAATCATTTTGTGAGCTCTCTCTCTCGATCGCGCCTTTGCATAGATTCAGTCGTAGTCTATAGCTTGTCGTATAATCGTTGTATTTGGTTATTTGTATACGTTTGTTTGAGATTTATTAAATTATACTTATGTTTATTATACAAGAATGTCTCCTCAATTTATTCCGAATCAGATCGTAAACGCGTGTTAATCCGCGTATAATAAGATCGATTAACTGGTGTCAAGGAATCCTGACGTAGATCCGAATCTCGCGATTTGAATCATTATTAAAAGCCCTCCTTTAAGGACTGTTAAGATCGGATCTTACGATTCGAAACTCGGAGAACTATTCTCACGGAATAGGCCGATTAAGTGGTACTACGATCCTAAGCGGAGTTGTACCCCCGGCTAATCTCACAAGTGGTGTAGCAGGAGTGGGGTCTTGAACTTGAAAATAGAATCTCACAAGGGGTTTTCAGGAGTTTTGAACCTAAAAATCCGTAGAAAATCTCACATCTGGTGTCGCAGGAGTGGTTCTGGTTCGGATTGATTCGGATTGAGAGACAACTATTTGATAAGTTAAAATAAGATAATTTTTAAGTTACCTATAAGTTAAAATGGAGAGAGATAGAGAACCTCCGCGAGCGGCGTTAGCTGGCAATCCAATAACGTTAGGAGGATTAGGTGGAATGATTCCCCTCTTACCGGTCTTCTCAGGGGACGCAAAAGGTCCAAAAGTATCAGAATTTTTCGATACGTTAGCGGATGTGACTAGAGTAGCAGCATGGTCGAAGGCACAAACGCTGGCTGTAGCTAAATTAAAATTGACTGGTATTGCCCGGGAATTCGTGCGTAAGGATCGGCGAATAAAGGACATAGATGATTATGAGGAATTTAGGAAAATAATGTTAGAACGTTTTGAGAAGGTCCCATACACATATCGAATCCAGAAA